TCTACTACTAAAATAACATGATTCTTAATTATCACCTATTATAGCAAGTAAAACTTAGAAGATTGATTTCTAAATAAACATCTATTAAAAGAATTCGAAGTTGAAACCTGTTACTAAATAAAAAATTTGGTTGTGCCACACAAAAAAATTAAGATTTAATGTTATATAATCATTTTAAGAAAATTATTTTGCTTTTTTTTTTTTAAAGAAAATCTCATATAACTTACGTTTTTTTATTTAATCATTCGTGATTAGATTTAACTACCAATATTTACTTTTCTTACTTTCATATATAAAAACATTTTTGCTAGACAGATTCTTTATATCTCTATCTATCTAGGATGAAAAAAAAGACACATAAGAGTAGCATTAGCAGTTGAATAAAGTACTTTTTTGGTATCATTTCTTATAAATAAATTTGGATTTTACTTAATTATGTGGCTTGCATAACTGACTCAAATCCATGGTAGGTCTTGGTTTAGCAATGATAACGCCAATACCTATTTTCCTTGCTAATGGTTTGGATCAAAATCAGAAGGCATGACAATGAGTTTTCCTTCAGGGACCACACTATGACCAATTTATCAGAACCAGAATCTGCACATTTTTGACCTACCTACTCACAACTATTCTTCTTGTTATTATCCTTTGCTACTTCCTCTCCACTCACTCACTCACTCTCTCTCTCTCTCTCTCTCTCTCTCTCTCTCTCTCTCTCTCTCTCTCTCTCTCTCTCTCTATATATATATATATATATATATATATATATATATATATATATATATGCATAATGCATGTATAAGACTACGTTTCACATGTTGATGGTGGGATGGGAGTGCATATAACATAAATGCATAAAATCCAACTTATTTTCTTCTAGACAAAGAGTAAATGGTGATGTTAACATTGTTTTTGACCTAGTAACAAATTATACATAGTAAAATACGAATTGCATGTTGGGGTGAGTCACTTTTATTTTATCCAAGCTTGTTGTCACTTTAAGAAGTTTGATTGAGAAAACACAATTATTTTTTCTTTCTAAGTCAATTTCTATGTTTAAAATATTGTTGACTTTAAAAGTATAATCTATTGACTTTAAAAATATAATCTATTACAATTTAGTTCTTAAAAACGTTTTAATAAATTAAAAGAGATAAATATAAATAAATTATTATTAATCTTGAGTCTTAAATAAGGTGAGATTTATAAATATATCTAACCATATTAAGTTAACCCACTCTAAATTTTGATTATAATTAATTATATAAAATAATATTATACAAAAGCAATTCCATGAACTCACGTTAGCAGAAAGTAATGGATTAAAATAAATCAATATATTGCCTCAACTTTGATTACCCCCAATTGAATGTTCAAAGTTTTGTCTATAACTTGTCTCTGAAATGTTGACTCGTATAATGTTTTTGGTAGTGCGTGCCATTAATTTTGGTAGCAAAGATAATACATAGATAGTGTGAAGAGAGAAGGCTGCCAGAACAAACACAAAGGCATCTGCAACACCTCTTGTTGTCGTTGATGTGTGTTTTGACAGAGTCACCAAAATCTTAATAAGTTCCAAAGCTATAAGATTGGGTGTGCAAAATTGGTAATTCAGGTAAACAGTGTTCGTACAATGCAGCACGAGCAACAACAACAGCCAGATCTAGCTACTTCTCTTAGGGGCTTCAAATTCCAAAGAGAACCTTTCTGACCTTGCCCTCTTCCATCAACTTTACAGCATCACCATGAAAAGTTTCTTTCTTTCTTACCTTCCACTTTGCACTTGTTTGCAGTTATAAATTAGGTTGTGAGGTGTGATCAGAAGCCATTTTGTACAAATAAATAGTTGAAGGCTCGCACTAACTAATATTAATAGGCATATATTTTTGTTTTGTTCTGTGTGTTTGTGGGTGTGATGCGTGTCTTTGACCATTGGTTCTGGGAGAATAGGTGTTAGGACGTGTGAATGTGGGGGAGAGAGGTCAGAGATTCGAATCGTGAGGTATGCAGATCATTGACAGAGATGCAGAGATATCTTTTGAGACTCATTGAACTATATGATTTTCAACAATGAGACACATCATCAACGAGATATCTGATTAATACACATCCAAATTAAGAAGACTTTTCGACAGTGTCACTCACCATACAAATCATTAATATTGATAATACTGTTGAGTATTAGGAGAGATGATTCATTTAGCATTTCGAACAAAATTCTCTTAAAACAATGTGTGTGATGAAAAAATTTATTAATTAACACTTGTTTACCGTGGAAAAGTATTTGTTCTAAGTAGAACATATTTTAAGATAAGAAAGTTATTGCTATTTATGTCACAGTACTAATTAAATTTTTTTCAAACTTTCTAATAGGCATCTTTAAAGAAAGTTAGAGGTAAATAACTAATATTTTCTTTAGCACGGGTTTGAGTCCACTAACATGGTGCGGCTACGCATGCTTTGACAGCAAATTAAAGGTAGATTTAGGCTTTAGTTTGTGTGCTTTTATAAAAAAGTTCAGATTAAAATTTTGTTTTGAAAATATGTTATTTTGATTATTCTTTTGATACTTTTTATTTGATTGGGTCCTTTTATCAATAAAAAGCTTAATTTAAACTAATAACTAAAATAAAGTTGTCTACTTGCTTAAATAAAATGTAAAGTAATGTATATACTAACACCAATCAAGTCAAATGTGAATCCCAATCAAAATATGCTCTGATAATTTAGCAACTCATTACTAAGATTTTGTTACAGTTAATTAGGCTGAAATCATAATATTAACTTGCAATATTAATAAAAACACATAGTTAAACTAATGAAATAGAAATTGGAACAAGAGGTATTTAAACCAAAAAATAATCTCAATAAATTTGACATTTCTTTTAGAATTTAGAAATACATTCTTTTGATAAAAATAAATCATATAATTTAAAAACCCAAATGCATCTTCTATAATTTTGAATTGGAGGAGTTAAAAATATGTTATTCCAAGAATAAAACATTCCTGCTTCATGTCATATCTTGAAACTACAAAAAAAGGGTTGAATTTCTAAAATGGATCTTAACTTTTATCCAAAGCCATGGCTTGCCTTTTACCTTTAGTGTAATAGTATGTGAAATGGATATTTCTGTGTTACATGCAAATCAAATCAATACCAAGGTAATTCTTGATACACGTACTGTCATCTCAACTATAATAGAGCATTGGAGTTACCACACTTAAAATATTGTTCAGTTGAGCTCAAAAATGAACAATAAAAGTGCAAATGATGAATGTGAGGATTGTCCAGTATGGTGGGTCTGTGTTGAGCCGTGTGAGGAAGGGCAAACGTGAGTGATGAGCTCATATATACAGTTTGTAGAGTAGAGGGTGAGGTTTGTATTGGAGAAGCAAGAAAATGATGCCATTTGGATAATTCAGTTTCTGTTTAATTTGCATACTCATATCAGCAAAAGATGCCATTGCCCTGCATGGTGTAGGATAGGGAAGAAGTTAGAGCAGAAGACAAAATACATTTGTACAACGGGGACTCATGAGAGACGCAGAGGTGGGGGAGGAAAGAGTGGTCCTATATATATATATATTCTAGATTACATGTATATGAGTAAAAAGAGCAAATGTGATTCTCACCTTTCAACCGTATGAATAATTTGGTTGCAGTCTTTGTTGATGGTGAAGTTTCGTTCGTCCTTGTAGTGCAGATCTGCTAACTGAAGAAAAAATGTTTGAGCTGTGACATGTTTGTTCGAACTAGTGTGCAAAGGAGGTGAAATCATGAAATATTCATGACCTACCTTTATGAACTACTGTGACATGTTATTTCCAAAAGTTACAGAGTCATACACTATTTATAACGTGTACATGTAGCGTGTTAATGATACCCTTTTAAATATATATTTTAATAATGTTAGCTAAAATTTATTAAAAGAATAATTAAATATAGAGTGAGATAAAATAAAAAACTGTATATATTGAGAGAGAGGTTAAAAAATTGTTTTGGGAATTGGATTTCAGCAATATATATTAGCAAAATCTTTTCTTCAATATATTTAAATCTTTATTATTGTCTAGATTTCATAAGACTCATGAATTTTGAAATTCATTAATAGGACGTCGTCAGACATAGTTTTATGAAACTCAATAAATTTTAACTAATATTTAGAAAATATGTGAAGACTTTTTTATTAATCAATACCAAAAACATGGGCTAATGAATTAATAATAGAAAAACTATTGAAAATCACATTAACATGCATTACAAATTACAGTGGATGTATTACAAATTAGTTTGACTTAAATACGTTTTGTTGTCAATAAATTATTAAATTTTGTTTTTACTCTCTAAATTACTTTTTAATAATTTTGTTCTTAATATTAAAAAAAATATTAGACAGCACTTTGAAAATTGAAATAAAATGTTTCATATAACACTTTAGGATCTAAAAATATAAAAATTATTATTATTATTATTTGATATTATTAAAAGTTTCAATCAAAATTGAATATTTATAAGTGACAAAAACATATTTAATCCTAATATTTGTTTTTCTACTTTTAATATATATGATATGTTAATAATATTTCTCACTGGAAATTGTGAATGATCATGAATGGGTATGTTGTAGTAATTTTATCTCTGTAGATAGTGTGTTATGGGGGAGTTTTGGGTTCAAAAAGCCCAACCGCGAACCTCCTATCCTTTGAAATACCATAAAAGCCTATCATGCAGCCATGTCAGCACACTATCCAGAACAAAAGAAACGAGTGGTTCTGCTGCACCTCAGCATCTCCACACTCATTGTCAAATTATCAAACACACTAATGAAATTAACACACCACAAAATTAGAAGCAGAAGAAACATATCAATAACTTAAGCAACGTTCTGACACCAAGAAAAGGAAGGAACTTGATCCATTTTCTGTCTGTGGTGGACTAAGAGTCTTTCATAGGACAGTAAAATTGTAGCCAGAAAAAGGTTCACTAGCAAACACACCAATGGCCTCAACCTCTTCTGCTCTCACTATATCCTCCTCTTCCACACTTTTTGATGCCAAGGCTCCAAGACAGTCACCAGCTGCTTCTCCACAATGTGTGAGCCTTCCTCTTCCCCCTTTGCATTCTCAAAATCGTTCATGGAAGACGACTGCTTATAGTAAGTCAATCGTTATATACTGCACAGTGCACACACCCTTTTACCAAACTCATGCCTTATGAATAATATGTTAGAGATCCCACATTCTGGTCAGTTATATAGCAAATATAGTTAGTATAAGTAGGAGGTAAACCTCATTTTGTAATATAATTTTTGAAGTTAGGTTGAAATTCAAATTCTAAGACGGTGTCGGAATTTATGTTAGTAGATAAGTTTTTATTGTTAAATTTGAATACAAATTCTAAATTTGTATCACAACACAACTTATCTTAGTCGATCATTTTTAAGGTTAAGGTAGACTAAATGGTACCAGAACTTATTTTAGTGATGACTGCTTTTCAGGTGGCAAGATTGCTCGAAATGTTATGGCAATGGCCACGCGAGAGGCACCAGCAGAAGCTTCCTCAACTGAGGTGCCAGAGATCGTGAAGACTCTTCAAGAAACTGTAAGAGGCTCTAATTCCTTTAATGCGTATCTCTTGAGTTTGAATTGGAGTTTTTCCTGCGTTTCTGACTTGAATTACCTGATGTTTGTTGCATAGTGGGATAAAGTTGATGATAAGTATGCAGTTAGTTCACTGGCCCTGGTTGGTGGGGTTGGATTGTGGGGCTCAATTGGGTTGATCTCAGTAGGTTATTTAAATGTTTATTTTAGATTCTTTGATTGATTATCATTGCCTGCTAGTTAGAAATGACAATTCTTTATGATCATATGTTTGAGACTGTTCTAAGTAGTAACTATATCACTTGTAACAGGCAATTGATAAGCTTCCTTTGATTCCTGGGATTCTTGAGATTGTAGGCATTGGCTCCACTGGGGTAAGTGATGTATACTTGTTTGCTGGCATGATTATCATGGGAAAGTTGAGTAATGAGAAATATCCACAAAACTAATGTTTAAAGTTTTAGATTAAATCACACATCAACCGACTTAGTAATATCTTAATGATTTGGATTAAGAATGATATATGAATCTTGAACTAGTTTAACAATTGCAAATACATATTAAGGCTTGTAGTATAGGATTCCATCTCCAAGAAAATCTATTATTCATCTTCTCTGTTTTTTCTTTGCAGTGGTTTGCATATAAGAACATAGTTTTCAAGCCAGACAGGTTAGCACAAATATTCTTGAATAGTTTATTATAATTTGGTACAATGCATCATTGACTTGATGATTAATGTTTATCAACACTTCCCCCATGAATAGAAGTTATGTCTTTAAACCTGTTTGATGGAATACCAGGGAAGCATTGATACAGAAAGTAAAAGAAACATACAATGAAATAATCGGGAGCAACTGAAAGAGGTAGGAAATGCTGAGATGCTGTAGACATGAAAGAACCGTGTATAGCAGCTTCTTGTTGAAGATTTCATCATGCTTCATTTTGTCGCCATAAGCTTCTGACCATACTTTATCCCAAGTAATGTGTGTTCGAAAAAAAATTGTATCATTTTATATATCTCAATCCACTTTCAAGACAATCTCATTTCCTCAATTATCTGTGATGGTTGGTTTCAAGGATATGAAGGAGCAACTGAGTTCATTAAGCTGAATTCAATGACTTTGAAAGAACATTTTATGACCATACTTGTTATCAATCTGCATGCAACATGATATCATATAACCTTGATAGAATATTTCCATTTCATTTGATGTTAAAGCGTGAAGGTGACAGGTTCAATGTTTTTGGATGGAGTAAAGATAAGCCCTTCTATAAAAGTTCATTGAACTCAAATGTTGTTTCTGTCTTGAACTTACATTCCCTGCATCTAAATTTATATGAATAAAAAAGGTATAACCATCCTAGCATTAACACAAGTTTATTAATGAGGACTGGTAAAGAAAGAGAATAGAATGAATCAAACTTTATCTTATCCTAGCATTAACCTTCCCCTGTTTGATCCCTTCAATTTTCATTCTCAATCATAAGGTGCAGGAAGAGAAGAAATATCTGACTCTAAGGATCTAGGGGAATCCCTTCAAGACTTTGATTGGTTAATGAATCATAGAACTGACTTTGAATGGAATTATTCAATTCCGTAAATATGAATACGCTGAATTTAGTTTAGTTTATGCAATGGTTTGGTTAGAATCATCCAACTAGTTTCTGTCTTGTCCAATTTTAAACCATTTATAAGTCTGAGTTGTCGACAACTACCTCTATAATTTCATAGGTTGGAGAAGTCATTAATTAGATTCTAATAGATTATTTTCACCAAAGAAATCATTAAAAATAATTAAAATTTTCCATCTTTCAAAGCTATGAGAAAGTCAATACCACACATTTTTCTTTCTTTGAGCAACAATTTTTTCTTCCACGCGATTTCATCATAAAATGTCGCAATCACCATAGACGAAACACCAAATTTTTTAAATACCAGAAAGATTTTGATTCGACCATTATTATTTTTTGTCGTTATTGATAAATTAAAGGGTAGAACTTATCAGTTCAAAGATAAACTATGAGAAAACCTCAACAATACGAGGTAAGGAAGTTCCAACATCTTACACTTTTTTTACTGGTCTTGCACTAATTATACCTGCACAACTTTTCAATGTATTTCAAAACACTGGTCGACTAAATTCTTATTCTATTAAGCGATAATTTGGAACATAATTCCAAAAGGGATAAGCAAGATTTTTTTCTTAATTATTATTCTTATTATAATTATTTATAGGAGGGAAAATGATACCTTTCAAACTCAAGTGACAATCTAAACTATGGAATTAATTTAGTGGTCTAAAATTTGGAAAAGTCACACGAACTTCGAAAAAAAAAAAATCAACACCCAATACATGGTAGGTTAATTAAGTGGGAATAGAGTCCAACCATGATACTGTTTTAAAATGCGAATATAGAATAATAGAAGAAACCATGTAAGACACATTAGATAAAACATGTCTTCTACTTGAAAAACTCCATAACCCAGAAGCCAGAGACACAACAAACGAATGTGATGCCACTGAATCCAGAAGATAAGGCCAATTCCATGAACTCATTTTGGGTTCTCTCTTTCCCTCCTGGGTTTTGAGTCATCATCAAGAGGTCAGCTTGGAAACCACTCCTGGCAGTAACTGTACTCTCCGGCAAATCGGGAAGAATCAAGTCCACAACAATCACTTTTCCATCACTCGGAAGAGCTTTATGGCAATTCTTCAACAACTTCAAACAGTATTCATCACTCCAATCGTGAAGTATCCACTGAAATTTATGGAATGAATTTTAAGATTAAACTTCAACACTACATATCACATGTTGGTAGGTGTAGTTTTTGTTTTTCACAATGTTGGTGGTAGGTGTAGATAGTTTTTCTTTTGAATAATATTTGATGTCACTTTTGAAAAGTACCATTACCAAAATATTTATAAATACAAAAAGTGGGGAAAATTTTGAAAGTTCGTTGTAGGTACTGGATTTAAAGCGATTGAAATTTCTTGGGGTTAAAATAATGGAAATTGAATGTATTTGATGAAAAAAAATTATGGGTAACTAACAAATCTTGATTTCACCTTCATAAAAATGGCGTCTCCGTTGGGAACACTCTCAAACATATCTCCTGCTACATGTTCAACACCTGCAACATTAAAATAAAAAACAGTTCACAATTCAACTACACACGAAAGAAGATTCTATGAAGGCTTGCATGTCTTAGTTTCTTCCTATTAGAATATGCAACAAAAAAATTAAGTGGCTATGGCTACATACCGGGGTAAGTAGGGGCATGTTCTATGACATGTGGCAAGTCAAAGTTTACACCTTGAACATTGGGATATTTAGAAGTGATAAGCTTGAGATTGATCCCAAGACCACCACCAACATCCACAAGCCTTTGAATGTTCTTGAAACCTTGGTAGAACTCAAGAACCCTATTGGTGACTATGGTGGTAACGTTGAACATAGCTTTGTTGAAAACATCATTAAACCTAGGATCCACTGCTGCATACTCAAATGCGTGCATCCCATGAACCCTGTTGAATGCTACACCACCTTCCACGATGGCTCCTTTCACTTCAGTCCTATGTATTATTATTCAACGCAAACAATTCATCAACATAAAAAAAAACAATAAACAATCACATCAAATGTCACTCGTCACCTTTAAAAATTCTACCTCTACTAGCATTATTTTTCCAAAGGATATGGTGGACTAGGAGAATAATATAAAAGTTTTTAAGATGCCTATTCAAAGCAAAAAGGGTCATTATTCGCCATTTCCTATAATTAATAATAAAAAAATATTGATATTGAAAAAATTCTAATTTCTTTTGTGAAAATTTAAAATAAAACATAAACAGAAGAGGAAAAATATATTATAACTACACACATCACTCTTGATAAATATATAGGGCACGCTTAGATAAATAATTTAAATAACTATACATTAAATCTTAACAAAAGGAACTTAAATTCATAAATTAGATTCTATTAATATGTTGTATAGAATAAACTAAACGTAGCATTATATAGTAATATATTGGCCAATTAATACACTCGCATATATTGCCTTCCTCTTAATGTATATACCAAAATAACTTATAAATATAGAAATATGATATAGTTTATGACTATTATAATACTGAGTTAATATATGATACATTGTATAGCTGGTAAGGTGGTTACCACAGTTGGAGACTCATTAAAAAATGAGTAAATAATATATGCATTATAATAGCGTATAACATCTTTTATATACTATATCAACAATACCTTTTAACTTATTAATAATTAAAAATTAATTGGTACGACAGTTTTGTTGTAGGTTTTAAATAAAAAATTAGAGACGTGGAAAAATTGATATAGTGACATATGTCCAATTAAAATGATTGTTTTTTAAGACATAATGTATTTTAATCCTTATAGAAGAACCAGTCATTTTTCATCTTTGTATTTGATGTTTGGTCAAGTCAAAATGAAGAATATATAAGATTATGAATGATATTCACCATGTATAGATAAGAAATACGATGCTGAAATCACCATCCTCAAAATGCAGGGATTAAAACTGATTAATATGCAGCAAAAGGAACTTAAAACTCATAATCTATGGAAATGAAAAGAATTAAAAACTGACCAGGTATCCATGAAGACCTTGTCGAGAATCAAGTTCAGTGTAGCTCCGAATGAGACACCATCAGCATCAGCAACAAAATACTTGGATGCATAGGTGAGACCGTAGAGCCTCTTGCCAGAATTTTGGCCATCTTCACCAAAACATGAAGATAGCATGGATTGACTAGCCAAAAGCCTCAGAATCCGATCCACCTTAGTTGGTGCTTCTGGATTCTTTATGCCAACTTTTTCTGTAATCTCTTCTGCTGAGAGCTTCGCATTTTCACCTGCTTTGCCCAAGATGTCAAAGATCCCTAGCTCAACCGCGGTCTTAACCGCAAGAGGGTACACCACAGAAGACATCATGTTCATGGCAAAGAGGATGCCATCTTGGTCTTCTTCAACGTGTTTAAGTTGCATGGCTTCACCGTTATTGGTTTCCAGTGATGGAGCCATGATGATTTTATCTGATAGAATAGACTAAAAAACCTTTATATATATATATATAGAGAGAGAGAGAGAGAGACAGGAGGTAGAAAATGTTGTGTTGATCGCTTGAAGCTAGGCCTATTTAGTACATGAATTGAGGTTGTGTATGATATATATTGGTTAAGATCAATATAGGAAACTTAAAATATTATTAAAAAATTTCTTTATTTGTTAGATAATCTCATTGAAGTAAATTTGATATTCAATATGATTAATTGTTAACATCAGGGTGTATTAAAAATATCACGTGATATATATAATTAAACACAAACTTTAGCATATATAAAACAAGTTGAGGTGGGTGGGTGGTTGTCTATAAAATATTTTAAAGAAAATTCAAAAGTTATTTGATACGTAAACCTTTTGACTTGTGTGGAGGCTGTAATTTGGATGACTTGTCAATTTATTTTGGACATACTACTGTTGTGATGAAGCATTCCTGTGTGTTTGTCTCATTCAAATTTTTTCTTTCTTTTCTTATATCTCACTTGATGTCTGTTTTGGCAACTGTCACTGGATTTTCTTTACTAAGAAAAGGATTTATTAAAACTGCAAATGCTTGTAATTGGCCTAAACTTGGGCAACTCAAGACTCAACATTTTTAGTTCATAACAAAACAAGATTTGGTAGCTGTCACTATATATGGTGTAAAAAAGTCAAAAGGAAAACGGAGGCACCAACTTATGGCAAAATCAAACTTTCCCAAACCAAAATATAAATCTCCTAGACATCCAAGTTACACAATACTGGCTATAGTAGTTTAATGTAGTTCTATGATTTTTTTTTATTTTATTTTTTTTATTCTCAACAAAAACACTCAAGTATGTAACACTTTATATGTTTGAGTAAATTTTTCATAAATACTTTTAGAAGATAAAATTAAAAATTAAATCATAAAATCAAATTACTTTTTGAAAAAGTTATAAAACAGATTTTGAGAAGTTAATAACTTAATTATATAATTTATATTAACAATAAAACTAATTGTAACTTATTAAAAAAAATTGACTTTTTTTATTATTTTATTTTTTTACAAAATGTGTATGGAAATGAAAATTAAAGTTACTCCTCACTCGAATAATTGGTTTTTAAATGTGTTACAAAAGGAGAGTATGATATATCGTAGCTATTAAAATTATCCTGTGATTATAGAATAATATCTTTGATTTTCATTATATGAGATTTTTGGTGTTTTTACATAGCACAATTTTTTTCAAATTTATTAAAATAATAAATTTTAAAAAAATTATGGATTTTGATAGCACGATGATAAAAAATGGTAATCTGTAACACGATTTGGGTTTTTTTTTTTTAAATAAAAAAAAGTTGTATTCGCTAGCACAACTTCAGTATAAGTTGTATTATGTGGACTTTTTTAGTAGAATGGGTTAAAAAAAATTGATATTACATGCAGTCCAAATTTTGAATTTTACTAAAATAGGCTATTTTTATTTTTTTAAAATGTGGTTGGTAGCACGAATTACGCATGCTCTTACATTAAACTTGTGCTACCTTGTCATTATTTTTTTTTTCAAAATAGGATTTTTTTTTATTTTTTAAATATTTATTTATTAAATAATTATTTTTAATTTAATTGCTAATTTAATAGAAAATATAATTATTTAAATATGATTAAATTTAATTTATTATATTTATATTAAAATATTATATTATTAAAAAAAAAATTATTGTTGAAATGGACATTTTGAATGATTATGTCCTTTATTTCAACAAAAGAAATAATTTTTTGTTTATTTCTAATTTGTACATCAATTTTATTTTGAATCTGATTAATTGTAACTCTTCCTTATGTCTCTTGACTCATATTAGCAAGATAAAAATTTGGACCTGTATACGTAAATCAATAATCTTCATTTTGAATTTGGATGAAATTAAAATTCATATATGTCTTATGAATGCTTTGTAAGTTGTATATTGGATTGATAAATGCAGTCAGTTGTAAATGACAAGAAGAATAGACAACAATAACATGAGAACAAGGGAGTCGAATAACTTAAAATTCTCCACAATCACACTATCTTTGGTTTAATTGAACTGTGTAACTTAACAATAATCGAAGAGATTTTGGCATCAATACTATGAATGATACACTCTGCTACAGAATGCTCAAAGGTTTAACACTCTTCGAGTGAGTGTCGACTCCTCAGAAAATTAAGAGAAAGAGAATAATAGAATATAGGGGAAAAAGGATCTTGAAAACTTTTATTCTGTTCTGTTTGTGATTACATCATAGCTATTAAAAGGAATTGGGTGCTAACAATCAAGCAAAAATTAGGGAAATAAAATAGGAATTAAACTAATAATTTGCAGTAGAAATTTCAGGAATTAATTTGAGCATATCAGGATCTTCTAATTTTGTTCGCAGACATAGTCATTCATCCACGCTGGCTTCTTTCTTGCTCGTTTCCCTACTATTGGTCATCCTTCCTTATTGGGCCTGGATCCACTTGTTGGTTTGTATCATTCTCCCCTTCTGCAGAACTCACCTTGTCCTCAAGGTGAAAATCGGGATAACGAGTGCGAAAATTTTCCAAGTCTTCCCAAGAAGCTTCATCAACTGGACAGTCCTCCCAATGCACCAAGAGTTGTTCTTGTGGTTGCCCGTGAACTAACTGAGTTCACCAATCTAAAGTTTCCCTTGGTTGATCAATAGGTTGGTTATCAAAGTTTTCCAAGGGTAAGTCACCAGGAGGAAGTTGGAGTTTGTATGTCACTGTCCCAATGCGCTCGATGATGCTATAAGGACCATAGAACCTCTTCGAGAGCTTGTGGTGTTTCGATTGACGGACTGATGTTTGACGATACGGTCTGAGGCATACGAGAACCAAATCACCAACGGCGAGAGTAATGTCTCGACGATGTGCCTTGGCCTTCTGACGCATTCTATGTTGAGCAGCAGTTAAATTTGTTTTCAAAGTGCAGAGTAATTCTTCACGAGAAGTTAGGGCCTCATCCAATACTTGTATAGAAGTGAATCCCCTAGTATAAGCCGGAATGGTGGGTGGTCTTCGACCATAAAGAGCCTCGAAAGGGGACATTTTCAAGGCACTATGGTAGCTGGTGTTATAATGAAATTCGGCCCACGGGAGGAATGCAACCCATGAAGACGGTTTCTGTTGAGTGAAGGCACGAAGATATTGTTCCAACCCACGGTTAACTACCTCGGTTTGACCATCAGTTTGAGGGTGATAGGCACTGCTCATAGCCAGCTTGGTGCCATTAAGTTCAAACAGCTTGCGCCAAAAAGCGCTAATGAAGACCGAATCACGATCAGACACAATGGAACGAGGGTACCCATGGTGACGCACAGTCAGAGACACAAACAACTCTGCTACTTTGGAAGCGGTAAATGACGTGGGAAGAGCACCAAAGTGAGCTATTTTCGATAATCGATCCACAACAACAAGGATAACCGTGGATCCTTGAGAGGGAGGGAGACCCGTAATAAAATTCATTGTCACATCTTCCCAAACCGTCTCTGGAATCGGGAGAGGTTGAAGGAGTCTCGCTGGAACCTGCGTTGAGTATTTAATTTGTTGGCAAGTAAGACACGAGCCGACATACTCTTCCACTGCTTTACGCATACCAGACCAATAAAAATTGGCAGCAACATGAACTAGGGTACGTTTCACACCAGCATGGCCACCACTTGGTGTATTGTGAAATTCGCTAATGATTGTATGACATAGAAGAGATGTTGGGTTAATCACATAACGACCGGTATGGAAGAGGACCCCATTCACGATAGTATAAGGGTACCAGAGCAATCCCTGCATGTGTTGTTCACGAAAAGTCTGATAGAAAAATTCTGAAGCATTATCTTTTTGGAGTTGAGTAATAATACCATATGTAGGTGATGACACTAATGCTCTGCGTGCGGGTGTGTGGTCACTGTCTGGCCAGTCAGCCGGCACACGTGAAAGTGCGTCAGCCACTTTATTAGAAGCCCCAGGTTTGTACTCGATGCGAAATTGGAACCCCAAGAGTTTGCGCACATACGACTGCTGTTCTGGAGTTTGTATTACTTGCTGAAGTAATTCCTTGATGCTCTTATGATCAGTTCGGATGATAAAAAAATGGCCTAACAAGTATTGTCTCCATTTAAGAACATATTCTGTAATGGCATGTAGTTCCTTAATGTATACAGATGCAGCTTGTAACTTCGGGCCCAATTTAATGTCCTTGAAACGAGGGCATGGTTTGCTAGGTAACCCCAATCGTTCCACTAACGCAAGCTTGATAAAGTTGTGAGTGCTCCCGCTGTCAATGAGGATGGTGAAATTTGTTTGGTTATAAAGGCCGGAAACACGCAAGGATCGACTTTGGAGCTGGCTGGACAAGGAGTGGAGGCTGGATATGTCACCAGAGACATCATCTATTGAGTTATCCTCGGATTTCGGTGGGGGTTCATCTTCATCTGCTCCCATGAGGATAAGCACGCGGTTTTGGCATCGGTGAGATTGGTTCCATTTCTCATCACATTTAAAACAGAGACCTTTTGAACGGCGGTCTCGGAGTTCGGCAGAGGGCATGTTCCGCACGGCAGGGTTTGAGTGTGGTGTGGGTAAGAGTGGTGGTAACGATGTTGCAGTATTTTTTGATGGGTTATTTGGATTTGAATTGGATCGGTTTGTTTGATTGTGGTTAGGTTGAGTATGTGAGCCTGTGGAGTGTTGTGGGCCGCGAGACCCCAATTTGCCTATGGTTGGTGTGTCATCAAAGCGGGCCTCATATGCTCTGGCCATGGCGAAGGTTTCCATTAACGTAGCAGGTCGGTGAAATTGCAATTCCCGTCTCAAATGCTTTTTCAGTCCCGTGATGAAAAAACTGATTAGTAATGATTCGGAGATATCGTTGACCTTGTTCATCAATTCTTCAAACTGGGCTTGAAAATCAGCTACAGAGCCGGTTTGAGTTAATTTCAGCGCATATGATGTCTGCCCGGC